AAACGGGCTGTGAGAGGTTGCCTGCTCTTGCAGAAACACAGAGGCTCAGCTCAGCCTGGGGACTAAACTTCGGCCATTCAGGACACCACCACCAGGGCTGGTATACGGAGGTGAGTCACAAGGCAACCTTAGACAGTGGACACCTCTGAAAATAACCCTCGCAGTGTGGGGCCCCCTGTGCTGCCCAATGCGGGCGCCAGGCCCCTGCCCTCCCCGGTGGCCCGCTCATCACCTACCACTGGCCACTGTCCAGTAGACCTGCGCGTCCTGGGTCTGGTGCAGGATTCGGTAGGGGGCCACGCGAGCGCTGGAGTCCAGCACCACGTCCAGGGTGCCCACGAGGAGACCTGGGAGGGCAGAGGGGTGTGCGGGTGAGGCCACGGGGCAGGGGGGGTGGGTACTCGAGCAGGGCGGCCGCACCCTGGCTTCCAGGCCCTGGGACAGGCTCTGCACCTCTGCCTGGAAGCGCTGCTTATTGGCTCCTGCAGGCAGGGGCGCATGTGAATTCAGGGGCCCCGAAGTTCAAACAATGCTGGGAAACTTCCTTCAGAAAAACACAGGCTCAGATTTGAAAACAAATGTTTCTGTAATTCCTCCTTTGAGGGCCCTGGGAATTGAACCTGAGCCATGCACGTGTGCGCGCAGTTACACCCGGCACTCAGCTCCACCCCTGCTCACCCTCCCCGACAAGTATTCTTTTCTTTTCTTTCTTTTTCTTTTTGTACTTCTTTTCTTGCAGTGCAGGGGTCTGAACCCAGGTGCTTTATTGCGGAGCTACACCAGAGTTTTCTTTTCTATTGCAGGGCCACACTAAGTTGCCCGGATGGGACTTAAACTTGCAATCTTCCTGCCTCAGCCTCCCTCAGTGCAGGGATTCCAAGTGTGCGTCACCCCTGCTCAAGGGTCTGTTCAGCACAAGGAAATAAGTCCCTGACTCAGGCATTCAGGCTGCGAACGTCCACAAGGGTGAGCACTTTGCGTCCTCGTGAATCGAATCCTCGGGCTGAGGCCTGGGGAAGGCTCTCCGGGCACGTGCACTGCGCGCTCCCGCCGCCTCCGCCAGCAACTCTGGTTCTTCACCGCACAATGACTTTGTGGCATCGCCTTCCCTATCAAACAGAGGAAGACGACGCGGTCTTTCTTCAGCCATGGATAGCAAACTTTTATTTTTATAAGTTCAATGAGGTCTCTCCCAGCTTCAAAAGTCAGGGGCGGAGAAGGACACACAAATGTTCAGAGCTATCAAGTTTGAGAACAAGGCTCTCCGTGGAGGCGCTGGAGCGTTTCCAGCGCACCCTGTGGGCGCGCACCACGGCTGTGACAGCGCTGTCTTCGTCGATGTCTCTCTTTCTGACACACCGGCAAGGAGCATTTTCTCCTGCCACTGTCGGCCTGATTTCCCCTTGGTTGGTTAAACTGCCACGCAGGCCAGGTGTGGCGGTGGTTCCTGCACTGAGAGGCTGAGGCAGGAGGGTCGCATGTTTAAGCCCGGCTGGGGCGAGTTCGTCACTCGTGACACACTGCCTCAAAATAAAAACAAAACCAGCAGCAACAAAGGGCCGGGGGCGCAGCTCCGCGTGAAGGCCCGGGCGGCTGCCCGGCGGCCCCACGCGTGTTTTCCAAGCCCTTCCCATGGTTCCCGTTGGGTTTCTCGCAGGGCCACGGCCCGAGCGCGTTCCAGGCGGGCCTCGCTGTCCGCCCGGCCCGGCCCGGCCCGGCCCAGACCCCGCGCAGCGGCACCGGCTCGTGAACCCCCGGCCCGGCCGGCCCGCTCTAGGCCCGGCTCCGAACCGCGAGCACCGAGGCAGGGCGCGGCGCTGCGGCCCCCGACCCCGCTCCGCCCCGGCGCCCCCGCCCCCCGGCCCGGGCCGCCCCGCGCGCTCGGCTCACCCGTGAGGCCGCCGCCCTTGCCGTGGCCCCGGCGCCGCTGCAGCACGAAGAAGGGGTTGGCGCGCTCCGTCACCCACAGCGCGTGGGCCACCAGCACCTCCTCCGGCCCGAGCCACATCGCCGCGCCGGGCCGGGCTGGCGGCGGGCGGAAGCGCCGTAGCGCGCGGGAGGAGACGAGGCCGCGCCCCCTGGCGGCCGCGCCGGGCGAGGCGGGGCCGGGCGGGGCACCGGGCGGCGGGGAGCCGGGGCTCCGGGGCACGCCGGGGCGGCGGCGGGTGCGCCGGGGAGGATGCGACGCGCGCTCGCTCTGCGGCCCTGCCCGAGGCCGAGGCCCAGGCGCCCTCCGGGCCGAGGCGTCTTCCGGGCCAGGGCGCCGCTCCCAGCGCGGCCCGCAGGGGGCGCGCGCGCCTCGGGACGCGTCGCAGAGCAGTGGGCAGCTCCGGGGCCGCTCTCGGGCCGGGCCGGGCCGGGCCGGGCCGGGCCTGGCCGGGCCTGGCCGGAGTGAGGCCTGGAGGTTACTGGTCCGCGTTCGGCCGCCTCCGGACGTGGCTGACCCGGCCTGCTGCCCTCCCGGGTTCCCGCCCGGCCCAGGGCGCACCTGGCTCCGGGAACGGGGATCTTCAGGCTGCGCCGGGTGCGGGTTCGAGTGGAGTGGAGCGCAGCGGGCCGCGGACGCTGACCTGGGGCGCGCTGGGGGCGCGCTGCTTCCAGGCCTCCGCGCCTCGGAGGTGCGGGTGTGTGCGCTAACGACGCACACCGGCCCGCCGCGTCTTCCGCGGTGTCGCTCGAGATGAGTTAAGACTTTGCACGCGTAAACTGATAGTGTCATTCTGCCAGCCAGAGCTTGGAAATACTTGCCGCCCCCTCGAGAGAGGAGGTGGACTATTGTGTCGCTGCTTCCTTCCAGGGCTCCTCAGCTTTGGTCCTGTATTCGGATTCCCACGGGGTTCTTCGAGACCCAGACTGGCGGCCGACTTAGGACGTGCGTGTCTGAGGAGGTCGTGGGTGGTGGTGGTCCCCCAGCCCAACCCTTGAGAACTGTTCTTTGTACCAAGTAAAGAACATCTGTTAACACTTAGGATGTGCAAAGCCTGATTTTTTCTCTTTATTTTCAGAAATATAATTCACATGTCATAAAGTTCACCCCTTTAATAAGAGTGCAAAGTTTTAATGACAAGGTTGTGCAGCTTGTGCCACTATTTCCACAATTTTTAATTACTCCAACTGAGAATCTGGTTGCTGGTTGCACTGTCAGTCACTCCAAATCTCTCCTGCACCCAATCTCTGAGGATCACTGCTTTTGTCTCTGTGGTTGTGCCAGTTCTGGGTGTATAGTATAAATGGAATGATACAACTAGTGGCCTTTGGTGCCTGGCTTCCCTCACCACGATGTGTTTGAGATTCATCCATATCGGAGAATGTATCAGTGTGGCATTCCTTTTTAATGGCTGGATAATATTTCATGGTATAGATTTACTGTTTTGAGGTCCTGGGATTTAGCTCAATGGACTAACCCTAACTCTAACCCTAACCCCCGCGAAGATTTAGTGTGTGTGTGTGTGTGTGTGTGTGTGTGTGTGTGTGTGTGTTTAAGGCAGGGTCTCATTATACAGTTCAGGCTGCCTGAGCTCACTGTGCAACCCAGGCTGGTCTCCAACTTGCAGCAATCATCCTGCCTCAGTCTCCAGAATGCTGAGATTACAGGCATGCCACACCAGGCTCAATTTGCCGTATTTTTTATTCAGACCCAAGCTGAGGACCACTTGAGCCATTTCTGTCTATGAACAGTGCCACCATGAATATGCAATGTTGCATGAACCCGTTTTTAATCCTTGTGGATGTGCCCTCCACCGAAGACTGGTGGTGTCGCTGTGTGGAGATATGACTCTCTGAGCAGCCACCTAACTTTCCCAAAGCAGTGGAAACATCTCACATTCCTACCCAACCTATGCGAGGTCCAGTTTTTCCATGTCTTGCCATACCTGTCTTTTTTATTATAGTTACAGTGTCTCTAGAGGGTTGAAGAGATATCTTGTTATGGTTTAGATTTGCATTTCACTAATGAATAATGATACTGAATATTTTTTCATGTACTTAGTCACATTGTCTTTCTTTCTTTCTTTCTTTCTTTCTTTTTTTTTTTTTTTTTTTGGTACTGGGAATTGAACTCACGACCTTGCACTTGCCTAGCAGGCACTTAAGCCTCTGAGCTAAACCCCCAGCCCATTAGTCACATTTTCTTTGGAAAATGCATATTCATATATTTTAAAACTGGGCTCTTTTTAGTTTTAAGTTGTAGGAGTTCTGTATTATTTTAAGTTGAACCCTGGCCGCCATCAACCTTATTTTTTGTTTGTTTGAGACAGGCTCTTGCTAAGTAGTTTAGGCTGGCTTTGAACTCACTCTCACAGCAATCCTTCTGCTTCTGCCTCCCAAGCACTGGAATTACAGGTGTACACCACCACGCCCAGCTGGTATTTATGATTTTGAGATGATAAACATCCAGGCAGGTGAGTTCACACAAGCATTTGGGAGCCAGTAGCACTGATGTTTAGGCCTTTCAGGCTCCAGTTCATGTCCTCACACACTGGACATTTGCTTGCTGCCTTTCCTGCACTTCCCCTTCATGAGCACCTAGCTGGTTACCAAGGGAACCAGGCCTGGGCCACAGCGTGAAGCTCATGTTGGCCGAGACTATCTGCAAAGTCTGTTTGTGGGGTCACCGTACCTGGCTTGGTTGTGGCTGTGATGGCAGACCTTACCTTTCAGAGCACTCAGCGATATGAGCCGCTTGCTGTGGCACCTGTGCCAGGGGTTTGCCACCACTGGCTTAGGCCATTCTGGGCTGGACCACCTCCTGGGGAGCAGACCAGCTCTTGAGGCTGAGAGTAGAGATCCTCGAAAGGAAGCACCAGGGGCAGATGTGTCCTGGTGTCCCATGAGGGGCTGGGTCACTGACCTGACCATTATACCCCTGGTACCTGAGCCTTTGGGAGCCCCTGAATCTCTCTTTTACTTTAGCCAGTTTGGGGTTAGGTTTTGTGTCACCTTCAACCACAACAGGTGTCACTTACACATGTTACAACCCACAGGACTCCATGAGACCAGAATCGTGTTTTTAGTGGGTTTTTATTGAAATGGTTATATTAGCAAATTCTGCACATACAGATATACACTATTGACATATGGGTATATACCATACAGTTTCACAAGGTAATATACTTACAGCAACCATGTGGACCTAGGAATTGTGCTGCCCAGAACAGTCCCGAGGGTTGAGATCTGAGTGTTAAGAAATCAGCTCACACTGTACTGGCAAGTGTATTCTAGACAAGGTGTCCGCCTACAGTGAGCCCCCAGAATCAAGCTAATGATCATGTTTGCTTCATGAGTATTTGATGTGTGTTCTTTCTGGCAACAAGTTATCCAGTGGTGAATTAAAATCAAGTGCATAGTTTCCCTTTTATCCCTCTGGGTGGAAGGTAAAGCATCCGCTGCATTTCATTACACCCTAAGCTACCCACCCTACAGTACCTGTGCTACAGTTAGAAAAATAGTTCTGTGTGCCATCCTCTGAGATGCTGTGCATAGTTAGCAGGAACCTGGAACGGGAGGGGCTCTTTGCATGATCCAAATGTGAAAGGGATAACTAAACTTTTTACTAGTATAAAAGCTACTGAGCATCAAAACCAGTCACACATAGTAGCCACTGACAGAGCCCAGTCCTCCTCTCATACGGGAACAGGGTGTCTTCGTGAGGTGGTGCTGTTCTCCTACCCCATCGTTGTCTCCCAGGTGAGGGCCTTCCTCTCTCTGTAAGCACACTGGTCCAGTTTTCTTGGACAGAGATTGCCCCTAGAGTTCATCCTGATCCCCATTTTTGGCTCAAGATAATACATTTTGGCCAAGAACCAGCCAAGAAGCCCTAGAGGCCCAGGTGCCGGGCTGATGACTAGCGACGGTCTCCCGTGTACCTCTCTGCAGGCTGGCAGGGGTCACCCCAGCACAGGGTGCTGGCACTCAGTACTGGGGCGCACTAGTGGCCAGGCCCATGGAGCATGCTCACCACTCAGCAGCCCCCCGCCTGCTGGAGGAGTCTGCATCTGAAGGAAAGGAAACATCTTAGGATGTGATACACTACCTGTCCTCCCTCCGTTTTAAACAAATATCTTGGTTCAATATCTCTTAGTCAATAGAAAAGTCCTTTACTATCACGCAGTGTGAAAACACTTGGATTTAATTGTGGATAAAGGATAATTTCTAAAGAAAGTTAGAATCCATGTTATATTGGGTTAAATTTATAAATAACAGCTCAGTGCAGTCTTCTGTAGCTCTCAGCAGTTGCCAGTGGCTGTGAAGAGAGGTGAGTAGAAAGGTGATGCTCCCCTGATGGAAGGGCGCATGAGGTCAGGCCAGCTTGTTGCACTCGGGGAGCCAAGCGTACTGGTGAGAGCTGAGCGTCTGCACCATCTGGGCCCCGGGAGCTGTGTCCCAGGGGTTGGGGTCTGCTGCAGCAGAGAGAGGCGCTGATGACAGCCTCCAGTTTGTGACTTTCCACCCAAAGATGCAGGCAGTTTACAGAGGTGCTCAGGGCGCCTCTGCCCTGACTCTGCCCTGGACTTTGGGCCAGAGCGATGCTCCTCCAGCGCTTGTCTTTGTGAGAAACCCATTCTTTCAAGCTGGTGAGTGGGGTCCACACCACCTGGAGCCCCTATTTGTGGGATACATGTGTGGAGGGGTCAACAGAAAGAGCTCGGGGAGCCTGGGCCAGAGGCCCGAGTTACTTGGCAGCCCGAACCCTTCTGGAAGTGTGATACTTGAGCTGCAGGAAGTCTCTTCCTTCTTCCCCAATCACGATAAAGAGTCACCAGGGGAAATCCTCCGGCACACACTGGGACACCAGAACCACATCTGGAGGCACGGATGCTAGCTTTGAGCCGATGGCTCCCTCCCACTCTCTGCTGCGGGCTGGCCCGGTTCACTCTGGAAAATGTAGGCAGCGTGTTCATGCCAGGCCTGCTGGAGGCCCAGCTGGCTTCTCCTCCTCCAAGTTCAGTCTCCTGGGCCAACTGGGGCACCTGCACCTGCTGCCCTGCAGGGATTCTGGGGCTCCCTGCCCCCTTGCTCCTGCGCCAGGTGTGTGTGATCTGCAGAGAGCCCAGGACCAGCCAGGGCTGTGGCCAGGGAGAGGCTTCCCAGCACGGCCGGGCTCCGGCATGCTTGGCCCTTCCTTGTCTGCAATCCACACAGCAAACGCCACTGCCTTACTCCTGCGAAGCCCCCCATCTTTCCTCAGATGTTACAGAACTGCATTCAAGAACACTATGCACTCGTCCCTTCCTCACGTGAGCTCTGGAGGGCTGCACCCACAAACAAATCCAAAGTGAAAGGTTGGTATACATAGCTCATCGGACAACCGCCCCTACCAGACCTGGGGTCCCTCCACAGTGTACCCCCTAGCAATGGGGGCTGAGGCTGTTCAGCTGTGTGACATCCCTGGGCCTGGGTGCCCTGGATTGCGCAACATGAGAGGCAGCCAGTCTGTGTGTGAAGAGTGAATTATGCTCCAGGGTTTTGTGGTCTGCAGACGAGCTCCAGCAGCCCCTCTGGTCCCTTGCTTCCACCGGTGCTAGAGTCTTAGTGCAGTGCTGCCTCCCCAGCTCCACCTTCCTCAGAAGTGCGGGCCCCTCTCTCCAGGCTGTGTCCCTTGCAAGTGCCTCAGTGAGGGGCCGGGGCGCCAGAGAGGTCACGACTACTCAGGGGCCACCTTTACCACCCAGCCTGTGGCAGACCTCTGTGTCTCTGCACCCCTGAGGGGACCCTACAGCACCTGCGGATGCCCCTTCAGCCACAAGCCTGGAGCTCTCAGCCTCTGCGCCCAGCTCCTGGCTCCCACCTCTTCAGCAGATTTGGCTCAGCTGAGAAGCCTCCTCCACCCTCATCGCCCTCCGCCTCTGCAGCTCGGGGCAGCTCCTGGCAGCCTGTCCAGGTGCAGCCCCAACCCTCTGGCTGACACTGCTGCCCTGGGGCCTTGGTCCGGTCTGGTCTGGTCTGGTCGGTTCGGCCCTTCTTCCCGGTGCTGTCTCTTCCTGCCCCCGTACAGGGACAGCTTTGTTTCATTCATTTCACTTCCCACGGGGCAGCTGACAGTCCGTTTCCTACAACACCTAGAAGGTGTGCGCCAGGGGTGGGGCCCAGGGACTCTTCCTCAGGGAGCTGCATCCCGCCACTGAGGCGCAGCCCCAACAGAAATCTGCAGTCGCTGGGCCCACCTGCACTCTTCTGCAGTGAGAAAACCTGACCATGGCCCAGGGTGGATTTAACTTTCTTCTTCCAGTTTCTCCTCCTGGACGCCACACCCTGAAACTCAGCAGCTTAGTGTCATGCATGTGTGAGCAGCAGTGCCTGTCAAGGTAAGGGCACTCTCACCAGGCACGTCACTACCTTGCTGCCCAAGAGACTGTGCTGATCTTTCCTCAGTTAAAACCAATGTCACTTAAGGATGCAGATCAACAAAGTCGCTGGATGCAAGAAGCAATACAAATACAAAAAGGGCTTGTAAAGCTCTTGGGGTGAGTCGGATTAGTATGATTGAGCAACTTGGTTTTAATACCTTCTTGACAGGATCTTTTGGGTGGCCTGGAAGTGCCCTTGCTCTGGACCAGGCCAGGTCCAGGAAATGGCTTACGGGTGTCCCTCTTCCCTGGGGCCAGGCCCTGGGACAGGAGAGGTGCTGGGAGATGAAGTCACAGCAGCTGGTTCTCTGGGCCTCAGCAGCAGCTGGGGATTGGCTGGCGGAGTCCGTCTTGCTCTGAGGGCAGAGGCAGGGCCTGGACAGACAGCACCAGTGCCCCGTGCAGGTACCTCTTGCACTCTCTGAAGCGGGAGGAGGGCCTGGAGTGGCTTCTCCTCGGGGATGAGTAAGCCTTGTGTTCTGACTGTCACTCCAACCCTTCTCCACTTAGGTCCCAGCACCCAGCTCCATAGCCAGCAGAGGGGACAGAAGGAGAGGCCGGGGGCAGGCCCAGCTCCGGGCAGGCCATTGGAGGACGCAAGGTTTGTGGTGCTAATGGCCACTCTTTAGCTTTTCTTTTCTTCAAACAGTGCCCTCTGGGACATGGGTAGGGTTACTTCCTGATAAGCACCATGGTGTGAGGCCTGGAGCAGTGGGCACTCATCTGTTAAGTAAGGGCTGCTGCCTGCACTCCAGTCCTGCCCGCCACAGCTGGGCTCGGTGGGGCCGCTCACACGGGGTGTGGGCTGACAAGGATGGCCTCACAGGGCGCACGGCAGCCAGCCCTGAGCTTTCCGCCCTGACTCCCTTCCAAGTGGCTGCCAGCAGGGAGGCTATGGTCTGGGCTGAGCTCTGCCCTCTTTCAAAGCTGTGTCCTTGGGAGGGAACGAGTGTCCTCAATGAAGACAGGACATTCTGTCACTGAGCTGGGATCTGGGGTGCCACTCCAAGGATGGTCTCTCAGGAGCAAGGCTTCCTTGGCCGTTCTGCAGTGAAGCTGTCACAGATTCGCCAGAAACTCATTATTATATCAGTAGATTGTAAAGATTCAATTTAAAAGTATTTCTTCTCTAGCTTCTCTGTCTTAGCAAAGCAAAAGTCTGGGGTGACATCTAGTGTGCACGCCTTCATACAGGTGCACAGATCAGAAGGCAGTGCTGCAGAGGATTTCAATTTAGGGTCATGGAAAACACAGTCAGCGAGCAGAGAGCTCTGCAATCCTCCAAGCCCAGTCTTCCTGCCAGCCTGGGGAGCCAGTGCAAACACAAGTCAGGCGCGAGGCGGGAGCGCGGGCACAGCAAGCTCCGAGCCCTGTCAAACTCACTTTCCGGCTGAGAACTGAGTCGGGCAGACCACCATCTTTCTCAATGACACTGTAACTGAAACTGCTTATCAAAAATATTTTTTACATTACAAAGACTATAAAAAGGAAAATGAATAAACAAAAGCCCTTGGTAGAGAGTAGAAAGCAAAAGCAGTTAAAACCTTAAAGATCTGCTTGTCCCAGCCTTAAACTATCAGGACGAAATGCTGCTGGCTCTAGTGCTGTCACCGTCCCAGGTCTCTCGTGGGCTTGGTTTTGGCCGCATCTGTATCTGAGGCACCTTAACAGCAAGGTACAAGACAAGATGCCACAAACAGAAAGATGGCAAGCGCTTGTTTCAGACTCCCACCCTACAGAGCCAGCACAGTAACAGGGTGGAGACCAAAGGGCCAGTTTCACCGCCAGACACGTGGCTCACGCTGGGGAGGAGCAGGCTGAATTGTGGCAAAGGACACACAGCCTGGTTTGCTCGTCTTGGTTCCAGGACTCACAGAACACGGGCTTCGCTCCTGTCCTCCAGTGTCCACTATGTCTCTCCTGTGAGCCTGGAGACCAGGGCTCCAGCACCCGCTGAGGTCGGGGTGGGCAGGGACCGGGTCAGACCCATGAAGACAGAAGTGGGCCCTCCAGTGGGATCCAGCAGCGGGAGAGCGGTCAGCTCTTCCCAGTGTCACAAACCGCTCTGATGCTGACCTCTGCAGGCTGAACCCTGTGGGCTGGCACCCTGAGCCACCCCCACACGTGCACCCATGGAGACGAGCCCACAGACTGTGGGAACGGGGACCTTCAGTACTTAGTGGCTACAAAAGTACTTGTCACCTTACGTCATGCTCAACACAAGACACTGGAAAATGACGAGGTGGACACCTCTATGCCTCAGCACGGAGCCGGGTCGCGCCCTCCGTCTGCCGAGGGAAGGGGGTCAGTCTCAAGGGGGTGTGAAGGGCAAGGCTTTCTCTCAGCTTCCTATGGAAAGGGCTTCTCACAGGAACAACAAGAGCCAGATGACAACGTAGACCCAGCCGGGCGCTGAGACTCACTCCGTGCAGGGCGGGGAGCGCCGCCCACAGGCTCTAGGTACGTGGCAGGAGAGGGTGGCGGAAGCTGTGTTTGAAAGCCCCAGCGCCGCCCTGACGCAGAACAGTGCGTGATTATTCAGGGACATATGCGTGGTGCAGCATCAACTCCTGGCCCCCTTGTCCCTGGGAATGGCCAGGCTTGCTGGGAGCCCACGTTCATGGCCATCTTGGCAGGTGTTCAGTACCGTGAGGCTCAGCTGGGCAATTACACCGTCCTCAAAGCCTCGCCCTGGGGACTCTGCAGTGTAACCCTGAACCCCAACCTGCCATGCTTCCAAAAGGGATGCCGACGGAGAGTACAAAGTAAGAAAGGCTATCATAAATCAAATCACAAAGGACGTGGACCCCACAGCCCCTTTTTTAGGAATCAGGTTTTGTTCTCATCATACATGTCCAAAGAAGGTTCGATGGTAGAGAATTCACTTTCGTACACCAGGCTCCGCGGGGACAAGGAGTTTCGGTGAAAGAAGTGACCACCTGAAAAAGGAACACAGAGACAGACTTAGTCACCAAGCCTGCAGCTTGCACGCGCTTTACATGCTTTGAAATACTGCATCTCTTCAAGTGTCTTCTTCAGTCCAGCCCCTTATTCCAGAAAGAAAAAGGGAATCTAGGCCTCAGGGTAAGCACACTTTCTTTTAATTAAACTAACTAACATTGCAGGGTTGGTAAGTGGACATGCTACATCTGACCACTGAGCTACACACCCCTGGCCCTCAGTTTAGGTTTCTGTGTGTTTGGGATGGAAGCTGGAGTCTCACAGCCTAAGCAGGGCTCGCTAGCCCTGCAAGCCCAGTTTACACAGCAATAGCCCGTCTCAATCTCAGGGAGGTTACCACCATCCCATATCACCCTTCACTGACTCTTCCTACAATCTGGAGATGGCTCTTGAGAGTTTCCCACCACAGCTGACCCAGCCCACTGCTGAGCCCCTGTTCTAGGCTGACCTGAGGGGTGTGGGGTGCATGTGTGTGTTATGAATCGAGACTTCTACTAATAAGCCTGTTAAAATAAACACTGGAGACAGCTAGAGGAGTAGCGTTACAGCTTCATATGGTTTAACAAATGAAGCCCACGTAATAAAGTGTCCAAGATAAAGAGCCACTTCCCACTGACCCTCGCCTCGGGGACACGCTGGCCTTCATCCCTCCTGGTCCTTTCTGCCTCAGACTTTGTTCAGTTCCTACTATGCAAGACCAGGACTTTCTCATGTCCCGACCCTCCATCCAACACACTTTCCACTGCCTCAATAGAAGCACACTTTGGTAACTGTAAAGAATTGTGCTTACATTATTTCACTATTTGTGCTGCTCATAACTAAGCCATACTTACAGTTCCTTTTCTGTACCATGGATTTTTATAGCTTTACTGATGTGTAATAAACATGCAATAAAAGGTTCATATCCAAAGGGTAGGTTTGGGTACCTGTCAAACCATCACCAGAACTGAGATAACGAGCGTCACCACCACCTCCACCTCGCCCTCCCAATGCCCCTTGGGTATCCCGTCCACTTTCCCCACCCTTCATCTACTATCAGGGAAACAGGTTAGTTTGCATCCTTCTAGGATTTTATATAAATGCAATCACATAAGACAAGTGGTCTTCCAGTAAAGTGGCTCTGAACGCTGTGTGCAACCGTGTGTGAAAGATATGACCTGGGTTGGTCTCTGTTTCACTTTTTAAGAAACTGTTCCCCTGTGATCACAAAACACTGGGAGGCCGAGGCAGGAGGACTGCAAATTTGAGCCCAGCCTGGGCAACTTAGAGATTTGACAGGATCTAGTCTTAAAAAAAAAAAAAAAGAGCTAGGGATGTAGCTCAGTTCAAAGGCTCTGGGCTCAATCCCCAGAACTGGGTAGTGGGCTGGAGTCAGTTTTTCTAAAGTGACGGCACATTTTACATTACTACCAGCAGTACATGAAAATTTCAAAGCCACTGGATCTCACTAGCACAAGATCTGATTGGTCTTTAGGATTTTTAGCCATGGTAGTAGGTATCTCAGTATGGTTTTAATTTGTGTTTGAAACAGGACAAATCTCATTCAGTACCTATTTTTAGCTAAGCATATGACTCTTTTTGTAAAGGGTTTTGTTCATGTCTTCCACCTTTTATCACGGCTGAGTTCTGTTCATATTTTCAAGGGTAAACGTTTCCTCTTCAGTTTTAGAGTCTAGTTATAAGTCCTTTGTCAGATATACATTTGCAAATAGTGTCTCACAATCTGAGGTTTGTCTTTTCTTAGCAATGTCTTTTGAAGAAAAAAGGTTCAGATTTAGATAAAATTCTATTTATGGAGTTTTCCTTTTATAGTTTGTGCTTTTTGTATTGAATTTAAGAAATCTTTGCAGACCCCAAGATTATTAGGATTTATAATTTTTTTAATATGGCAAGAAATAAGGCAGAAGCTCATTGTTTTCTCTTTTGAGACAGGGTCTCATCATGCTGTCCAGCTGGCTGTGGCCGGTGGGAGCCCAGGACCACAGCTGTACTGATGAAAGGCTGCAACCTTCCATTGGCCTGCAGTGCTGGGGACCCTGAGTCTGGGCCTCAGGCATTCTGGGCAAGTGCTCGCACCCCCATCCTTTGAAGTTCAGTCTCCGCAGATAGATATTTACTTATTCAATCCTCATTTGCATAAAACATGCTTCTTTTCCAGGGTCTTGGCAATGGTGCTGAAAAACTACGATGACATGTTCTGGGCAGTTCCCGAGGATTACTGTCTCTGCGAGCCACCACCCTCATGTTCCTGGCAGGCAGTCTCAGCTACTGGAGCTTTATCAGTCTTGAAATTAGGTATTTCAGGTTTTGCAACTCTGCTATTTTTCAAATGTTGTGATGGGCAGAGGGGAAAAGAAGCCTGTTCTAGAGGATAGACAACTTTTAAATGAAACCATTTCATATGCTAGTAAATAAGCACTAAAAACATTTGTATTCTTCCTTCCTTTCTTTTTTGAGACAGAGTCTCACTATGTAGTGCAGCCTGGTATTGAACTCGGGGCAATCCTCTTGGTTCAGCCTCCCTGAGGCTAGGATTACAGGTGTGCCACCATTCCCGGCCTATTTTCTTTTTAACGTTTGTGTATTTAAAATCTACCACAGTTAAAACATTAAGATACATTTAAAGCTGCTTGTTATTTGCAGAAGCTCGGAGATAAAGTCACAAGTAAAATATGAGAAGTTTAATCTGACGGATAAATCCATATAATTCAATTGTACTGGAGTGAAAGATTTTAAAACTTGCTAAAGATGAGATTTTCTATTCTACAGGCAGAACTGAACCATCAGAAATGGAAACAACTTAACTTTCTCAGTTAGAGTAGTGATCAGCTGACACCGAATCTCTGGCAGTTCCTCTGTGCCCCAAACAAGCCCATCAGAACAGAGCTGGGGATGCAGACACAGCTCAGCAGCAGACAGACGTTCATGTTCATGCGGCCCTGGGGCCGAGCTCCAGCTCCAAAAAATAAGACATAAATATAAAGCCAGGGCTGAACTCAGTGATCTACAGTAGTTGCCCAGTTTCCTTATGAAAAACGGAACACGGGGTGTGTGGGGAGGGGAAGGACACACTGAATTCCGGAGAAAAGCGGGAGGCTGGATTTGCCAAGGAAGTGTACGTCTTGGTTAATCTGTAAACACACTGTTTCTTCATCAAATGATTCTGTCATGGTTGTCACTGGCTACTTAACACCACTGGGCAAGCACTTAGTGGAGGTGTGACCCAGATGCGGACAGACTGTGCCGTCAATCGTGTTTACCTCAGCGAGGGCACACAGCACTCCGAGAGGGCGCCGCTGGGCAGAGGACACTGCCCTGGCACCACAGCCCTCCGTGGGTGTCCACCCCTGCCTTCCTCATCCCCGGGAAGCCAGCCCTGGACTTGCCACACACGGCACGGCTGTGTCTGTTTTGAATTTTACTACTTAGAAACACGATGCGTGGTCTTTTATATCCAAATTCTTATACACAATATTGTCACATTCATTCAGTGTCACTGATTAATGATGGTACAAATTTTCCCTGCCTCTGGTATTTCCTGGGTAACTACTACACGATTTGCTTCTCTAACTTTTGCCGACGCACAGCCACACGTCTCTGTGGCGGCTGTTGTGATTACTGCCGGGGGAGTATTCTTGGGTGTATCTTTTGTTCCCGTGCATATTTTTGAGTGGCCTGGTACCTGGCCTGAATAAGGTTGGCAGCCTTCCAGAGCCACTGTTCTGATTTTTCCTCCCTCCAGTGAGAATTCAAACGCTGCGTATCTATGTCAGTGCTCAGTACTGTTTCCTTCAGTGCAGCACTCCTGTTCCTGATGGGGCCACATTATGATTGTAATTCGTATTCACTTGATAACCACGTAGAAAGACGCCTTTCATAGGTTTTTAGGCTACTTGTATATCTGGCCATTCCGAAATGTCAGTATGTTTCTTTTGCTCATTTTTTAAACTGGGTTGTTAGTCTGTTTTTTTTTTTCTTTTATTCTAAACAAGTTCTTTGTGATTCATAAGTATTACAGGATTTTTCTTCCAAAATAGTATATTCTGATGAATGAAAGTCTTACTTTTAGTGTGGCCTAATTTATTTCATTATGGTGCTTTTTTTTTTTTAGTTGTTTAAGAAATATATGCCTCTCTTAGGTTTTTTTTTCTTTTTTTGTTTTTCGAGATGGTCTTGCTATGTTACCCCAGCATGCTTTGATCTCACTCTCCTCCTGCCTCAGTTTCCTGAGTAAATGGGATTGCAGGTGGGCTTGGTGGCACATACCTATAATCCCAGCACTCAGGAGGCTAAGACAGGAGGATCACGGAGGGTTTGAGGCCAGCCTGAACTATATGGTGAGACCCTGTCTCAAAAAAAAAAAAAAAAAAAAAAAAAAAAAGAAAAAAGGGTGGAATAGGGCAGTGAATGCTGTGCGCAGTGGTGAGTGACTCCAGTCCAAGCCATTTCCATGTCCCTGGAAGAGAGTGCCGGGCAGATGCTGTTTTAGGGAGGAGCAGGGCAGCTGCAGGGCAGCTTCATCTCAGGACTCCCAGTGTTACCCTATTGGAGACCGGGTGAAGGTGAAGGAGATGTCCAGGGTCAGGAGACACTCAGTGTCATAAGCTAAATAATTCAGGCACCAACCCTACACAACCAGAGGCCAGGATTGGCTTGAAACCCTGTACTTTTTTTGTTTTTGTTTTTTTGTCTTTTTGAGACAGGGTCTCACTATGCAGTTCAGGCTGGCCTTAAGCTCACTTTGTAGCCCAGGCTGGTCTCGAACTCACAACGATCCTCCTGCCTCAGCCTCCCGAGTGCTGGGATTACAGGTGTGAGCCACCACGCCCGGCAATCCTGTAGTTTTTTTTTTTTTTTTAATCTTGTAGCTTTTAAAGTACCAAAATTGGCATCCTTCCTCAATCCTGCTGTGGGGTGGCTGGGTTTATTCAGCATGATCTGCCTCCGAAGTCTACAGCCAGTCATGCTGGACTGGACA